AACTTCAAAGTATCGAGGGACTACTGGACACACACACCTCCACAAACACCTCCACACACAATACACAAACACAATAAAAATGCAACAAAGCCTAGTTTTTATATGCACTGTTTTTCTTAAAGTGGGATACATAAATTAAATTTCCATAAATAAGAAAGGACTTAGATAGGCTTGTACAGTTCAATATTACTAATATTATCAAAGGAGGTATAATCTACAAAATATTTTCCCTACTTCTATACATGAATATTGTCTTTTCTTTAGTAAACGTGTACAATTACCCATAAATGTCTAAATCTAAGATCGTCCTGATGCATGTTCAATAATCCAATAATGCAAAAAAAAATAAATAAATTCTAAGCTTGTTTTATAATGCAATGAACAACAGTTTTTTCAATAGGCAGTCTTTACTACAAGCTTCTAGTGCAGGGGTCACTACACCCAATGTCCAGAAAAAGCCTCCTCAGTGAACTGAAAGTGGTTATTCAGACCAGACCACTAGTTGAATATCATGTTTCTAGTAGGCTATGTGGCTCTGGACAGGTTTTATCTAGTAAGTGAATGGGCAAAAATGGCTCTTTTAACGGTAAAGGTTGCCTGCCATTGTGGAAACACAACAAACCAGGGTTGAAGGGAATTGTTGGTGGTCCTGAGTAATAAACAAAGTAAAACAAAGTTCAGGGTAGTATAGTTGAAACATGGCTCATGTCTACTTGAGATTCTTTGTAAACACCTGTTCCAAAGAGATATTAACTCTGAACAGTGATCGAGTAGAAACCTGGAGAGCTGTAACAATTGTTGATTGTTGCTGACTCGTCTGGCTCTTATCAGCAGCGATTAGGGGAATTATCATAGAGCTGTGTCACAGCAAAGTCTCAGAGAAACTCCGGAGAAGCTCGCTGTAAATCCGCCTCTTTATACTGCCGGTGGGCAACATGCTGCCCATTAAATTATTAACAAAGGCAAGCCTTTATGAGCGATACGCTTCACTGACACTGTATTAATAAATAAAGAGAGAGCGCACAACAAAACGGCAACAATAGAGACGGGCCGATTGGAAAAGAAATACACACACACAAATTGATAATGAATGCCAGCGATAACCAAATCAATGCAGATGAGGCGGCCTCGTTAAGAGACAAGAAACATCCCAAACCATCATGGAGCGGCGCCAGTGGAAACATCAAGTCGGAGGCATCTGTGTTCGAGCGGACAAACTGAGTGGAAGGCTTTTTGTAAAATCTATGTCTGAAGTATGAGAACAGAGCTGAGGGAGTCATTGTGATTCTTACAATGCATCAGATGTACGAGCAGCTTGTCACAGGGAAGTGCTGACAAAGGAATGTCTGATCAGCACCTCGCTACAACACTCAAAGTTTAAAAAAAAAAACACACACTAATTGTGTATGTAAGGATTAAAACAACAAATCTATCTGGACGTATTTATGTCAGAAATGAAAATGAGGATGATGGAGAAAAGTAGACAACTTTCTGTGTGTCTGATACAAAGTTTTTCCAGTCGGGAAAGGTCTAATTTTTATTTAATGAAACTGGCTTTATATATATTCAAAAATAAAATGACTGACAGCTAGAATCCCCCCCAATCCTCCTCCTCCTTCTGTTTTAAACCAAACTCTCAATTTCTTATTTAGTTCGTTTTTGGTGTCTTTGTCTTTTGGTTCCTTTGAGACGCGCAGTCGGAAATGAACACTCTCTGAAAGATGGATGAGGGAAAGTTCTCCGAAGACCCAATTTTGAGTAAAAAAAAAAGCGATAAAACATTAAAAGAATAGGGGAAGGCAATAAGTTCTTTGGGAAAAATAATTCCTTGAAAGGATAAAAGAACGGCGTTAAAAGCAATACCAGGTGGGGTACACATCGCACCCACACGAGCGAGGAAGGCTTTGCTTCAAAAACACACAGCGTTTATCTACGATTCAAGACAATTAGTTGCCATCTGCTAAAGCTTCTGCAGAAAAGGGTTTATTTTTCTGAGCAGCAATGAGAACCTGAAAATCTGTACCTATAATTTAGTGGGAGGTAAGTTCTCTGCTTTGTTAAAATTATGTTTTGAGTTTAGCACAACTATCAGCATTTAGAATACTATAGGCTTATTTTTTCTGTATTACCTGATTTGATTTTACTGCTTTGACCAGTAACTGAGTGGACATGAGAGAAGCACTTCTTTATATTCTAGAGATCTACATTTTTGCAAATGATCTGAATCTTTTCAACGACTCTTTACATCGAACAACTGGAATTTAGTTGCAGACACTTGAGAGCTGTTCCGAGATTTATTTATTTCCTCCTCGTGTTGTCTTCGTGTTTTCCTCCTCAAACGCAGAGACAAATGCTCCTCTTTTCCACTGAGACAAAGAAAACAGAAAACTGGGAGAAGAGCAGCAGCTTGGTGGTGGTGGTGGTGGGGGGGTCCCACTTGACAAGACACGTGGGACAGCCATGGTGTTGTATGTCATAACGTAGTCATATGTAATCATGTCACTATCACTGGAAATTGAACGGCTCTTTAAAACAAATGGCTCTTCAAGCTTCAGCTCCCTTCAAAGAGCTGTATAGCCCATCTCTGTTACATTGCACAGGGGAGGTTTTAAACTCCTTAAGACAGTTTGGTCATTTCTGAAGTGATGTTCCGACAAATAGTTTTCAGTAATTAGTACCGTCTTTATCGTTTACCGTCTTTAATTAGTACCGTCTTACAGTCTTTATATGTTCTGTCTGGAACAAGTCCCTCTTGTAAATGAGTCCTTGTGGCTCAATGAGACTAGCCTGTATAAATAAATGTTGAATGAATAGTACCTTTACCGTTTCATCACTGATAGAGCAGGAAGTATGGAGAACAAAGCTAAAGTCTGCCTCCAGGCTAGGCTAATGGCTATCCAAAAGACGGTCAGTTATCTGTTGGTTTCAGACTTACAAAACACCTCTTTTATAAAAACAAGAAACATGTGTAGGTAATATAATACTTTGTATTAACCTCTACATGTTTAGTTAAAACAATTTTAGTTTGCTGCTGTTTTCTTAATATTTGCGTTTCTACACACAAATGTACAATTTGATAGATTGTGGATATGTCGATGGTGCCGAGACTAGCAGATTAGCCTGATCAGCACAACTACCTTAATCAGTCGGTAAATTTACTAAACTTCTGGAATTCAAGACCTCCGTCCCATTTGCATAAACAGTGTCATTTACGTAGTTGGTTGAGGAAACAACAGGAAACTAAACAAACTGTGTCATGCAAAATATGCCGAAGTTTAATATTAGCTAATGCAGCGCTCTTTCACACCGGTTAGCATTTCTGAGAGAGTTGTACTATGAGACAAAAAAAGTATTTAAAATGTGGTCCTCGTTTGGCTAGCCGTTAGCCTAGCCTAAACAAAGACTTTTTCCTTTGACTGATGTCACTGCTGATGAAGAAATAACTATTATAACAAGAGCTCGACCATATGGAAATAGTGGCTATCGCCGATACCGATACTGGGAGGGGCAGGCTAATGCTGATAACTGCTATACTGGCTGAAAATTTTTGAGCTTTGTCCACCCCCAATAATCTAAGTAAACAGCTACTTTTAAACTGGTTTTAATACTTGAAGTCTTGAAACAGTCTTCCTAACATGCGTTCACATTTTCATTGTTTAGTCAGTCATGTGTGGTGAAGGTCTAATTAGTATTGACCGCAGCTGCATTTTGTTTTGTTTTTGTTTTTTTGCTGAGGAATAAAAATTTCAGACAAACAATGCATTTCATTGAGGACGACAAAGATAACGTTACTAACACTGATATACATTTACATTTCTATGTTAGATTTATGGATCTGAATAAAGTTTTACAAGGCAATAGCCTATACTAGGTTATCTAAACATTAGCTTATTAACTTGAGAGGCACGTAGCTAATGACAAGCGGGTTGGAAGATTGAAAATAATTTATTATTGTTGATTTTTTTTTTTTACAGATCAGTTAAAATAAACTTATCAAGCTCTTTTCAGCTAAATATACTACACAGTATTGCTCGCTGCTTCGACTGTGCTGAAAGCGAAAGTTATAGTGCATGGCCCTGACTTGAAAGTAGTCCACATGTGCCCTTGGCTGGATACATAGTACAATTACATCTTGTGCAAGTAAGGACATGGCTTGTTCTCAGAAGTGTTTATATTGACGCACAATGGGCCAATTATCACCAATACTGATATGTCCCCAAACGCCTATATTGGCCTAAAATATTAGCCCTACCGATTTATTGGTCGGGCTCTAATTATAACTATTTGACAGAATATCACATCAGAAATGATCAAATGATAACTTTAAATTTCAAGGTTTGTTGTCTGTGCAATAAGATCATGCTTAATCATTTTTAAATTCTTAACTATACAAAGCCCCAATCTTTTTTGGCTTATTGTCACATTCCTCTATTACTTACTACTTTCATACTTTAAAAGTATATTTTTGCAGAACAGTAAAAAAAACAACCCAAACAATCAGTGAAAACCTTTGCCATCGAAGCATGAGCATTGCCTACAAGAATAGTTTATTTCTATTTATAGACAGCTAAAAATGTGCTAATCTCAAGTCATCCCTTATTTCTTTATAATTTGCTTCCAAGTAGCCAGTCTTTTTTTAATCTTTCTCACCAACTGTCATGAAAGCCAGGTGGTAAAATACTTCCTGTGTCTGTGGGTGTTCAATTAGCTGTCTGTCTGTTAGCAAAATATCCCATAAATCACTGAATGCATTAATGAAACTTTCAGAAAGTAACAACAGGATGTTCTTCTACAACTGATTACCTGTTGGAGTCAACTGTGTTCAAGATGGCTACCACAGCTAATCCACATTAACTAATATAAAAATGGCTGTCTCCACGTCATTTTTACAGATATTGAGCTCAGTACTCTGAGTGCTAACAGCGCAGCTGATCAGAACAAGAGTTCCTCTCCACTCTAACAGAACCGATGTGTTCATTTTCCCTGCGTCTGTCACTCACGTCGTCATCAAAGAGCTCCATGATGAAAGTGGCCACGCTGCCGTTAATACCGATGAAGAGGTTGATGCAGGTCAGCACCACGTACGCCGTGCTGGGCACACTGAACATGAAGGAGGCAGGATACATCATGGGAGTAATGGCCCACCTGAAAGGAGGAAAAAATAAATAAAAACATCCCATCATCCTTTAACTTAAAAAGCGTCCTGGTTGAAATCACAGAGTGGTCTGCACTCTGGTCCACCCTCATTAAAATAACCGTCGGGTTTAATACTTGTGCCAAGTGTAAAATTATCCGTTACTGAATGTGTGCAGGTTTTCAAATTCATGAGTGTAGTGTAGGTTTCACGACACCGGCAGCCTCTCCATCATTTGAATTTCAAGCAGGTGACCCGTAAAAGCACCACAAAATAAATGCCGCCCACACTCGGCCAGCAGTAGATCAAGTTCGGTAATAGAAGCAGATGAAGTGAAGCAGCGGTGAAGTGGTGCCAGGGTGGGTTGTCCTGAGCCACCATCAAACCCTCTCCAAAACATGACCTCTGCTTTTAATTTGAAATAAACTGTTAATCTCTATCAGGAAGATAGAGCTACTTTAAAACAGGTTTAGTTTCATTTTTGGCTCAAAGGTCTTTCCTCACAAAAGATCAAGTTACGTACAGTATATCCTAAATTTTATTTCTCTCTGGATCTGCTTTTAAATGGGGTGTTATGTAAAAAAAAAAAAAAATATCGGTCTCAGTTAAAAACAAAATAAAACAGTTTTCATCGTTGAGATTGGTTTGAACTTTAGCGGTGCACTTTACAGCGTAAATTGATATTTGCAGAAATTATTTACTTATACGTCCTTTAAAAGGTCAACCATTTAAAACACGTTTTTCTGACTTTATGTGCTTTATGATGTGGGATTTAACATTTGGAGAAATGTGGCAGAACATGAGCAGTAATATGTGTCACATTTTAGTAGGTTATTGATTTTGTTGTTGTGTTTTAAAGCGACCGATCAAATCTTACGAAGCAGGATTTAGTGAGTCGCAAATGAACGAATACTATCTTACCTGTTGTAGATAACATTTGGTGTGATTTAAGTTTAGAAAAATAAAGATTTATTTTGACCTTGACAGCTTTTATTTAATTTACTAAACGTTGTAATAACAACCTTTCTCACATAAATTTAAAAAAGCTAATACCTGAGGACTAAAACTTTGACAAAACCCTGTAGCCATTTTAGTTATTGAATAAAGAAGAGGCAGGGATGACATCCAATCAGATCTAATTTCATTGTATAGAAAGGCAGGACAAGTTGTGAAGATATCCAAATAAAACTAATCCCTTATCAGCCGATATTTACACTTACTCTATCACAGGGAAGATCATGTAACCAGCTTCTGTGTTTCTTCTCATTAAAAATAATAATAATTTTAAAAAGCACACAGCTGAATTAGGGGAGAGAGAAAAAAAAATCAAGATGAGGTCTAAACGGTGCGAGGTGACAGACACTGTTTAAAAGCACAAACAAAACAGCAGTTTGGACATGTTGAAATTATTATTTTTTATTTTATCTTTATTCATACAGGTAGTTTCATTGAGTCACAGACTCATTTTCAAGAGAGACCTGTTTTAGAAAGACAATACATAATGTACAAAACAAAATACAACAAAAAAATCCATTATAATAAAAAGTGTTATAAAAGCACTGTTACAGTTAGCAGCATGATCCTATTAGCAGAGTGGTTCTGTTCATTCAA